AGAGAAGAGAATCAAGAAGTTCAAGCTATGAATATTCCTCAGAAGAAAGGAGTTTAGCAGCAAGAATTGATGAACATCATACAATGTTGCAGGAGATTATGCGACATTTTAAAAAACTTAGTGAGCAGCCTTTGGCTGCTCAATGCTTCTAAATTTAGGAGTAATAGTTGAATTAAAGAAAAATGGCAAAGGATCTATACCTTTTCTGCAAGCAAATATGCAAAAGAACATTAATCAAGAGAATTTTATCCTTCGTTCACTAAACAATACAAGTAGCAGAAAAGGAAAAGAGGTTATGAACAGGGGAGAATTAGAACTAGAGAAAAATAGAAATACTACTGTATTTTGCGGTCCAAACCACCCACCTTGTAAAATAATTGCCAGATAATACAGAACTTTTTTATGGTGCATGCAGATGCATAATATATTTATTATACTATATTATGTGTAATATTGCCTATTATACTACATCTATTTATCGATATTGTTATGATAAAAAAAATTTTTCAATCTATAACAGATAAGATCTATTGATCTATTAAATTCCACAACAACTAAACGAACACTTAATTAAATCTGGTTCAAGTGAATCCCACGCACTTTCTACCCACTGAACAAGAAGAGAATATGAAGGCCGCCTAATATGCCCTGAAGGAGTTAATTTATAGATTGTTTCTACTAATCAATAATTATAATGTGCACAGACTCTTGCTTTAAAACTCTTATTAATACTAATATCTAATGGTCGTAATTTAGATGTTAGTCCACCAGGAATCACCACTATATTAGTATTATTAAGACAAAAATCTTGTTTTATCGAATCCATTATGTGTGCACAGAAGGAATCAAGAATTAAAAGAGAATTCGGATTATTAGGTGATCTTCTAGCCCATATATTATTGATCTACCACAGCATTTCTATTTCATTTACCCAACCTTTTTCATTGGCATGAACAAACACATTTCCTGGATAGTTTCCTTGAGGTATAGTTTTTCTCTTGAATATGCAGATCGCAGGTAGTTTCGTTCTATCAGCTATACATCCGAGAATAATGGTAAAATTTTTTTTTTCATTACCTGAGGTACGAATACTAATAGTATGAGTACCATGCTTTTCAATTGTTGAGGGATTTGGTGAATCAAATATAAGAGGCGTTTCATCCATATTACCAATAAAAAACAAGGGATAATTATATTGAATACGGGAATTTAAAACATAATTAAGAAAATTTTGTCTTTTTTCCTCTAGATCTTCTGGTAATTGCTATAAAATGGTAGTTCGGTGACAGATTGATAGATTATAGCGTTCTAAGAAACTATCAAGCCAATTATTTGAAAATTTGAATGATTCAATACCCAGAAGATTTTGAAATGCCGTATTTTGGGTAAGTGAGGCTGCCTTTACAGTTACCAATTCTTGGGTGATGGGATTTTGTAATTGACATTGTTCTGTAATCCAATGATATAAGGTTTCTTCAATTTGTAAACAGTAGGGCAAGCATCTGTTATGTAGTTTAAAAGTATTGGGTGAAGCTTTAATTAACATTTCTTTATTATGAATCCAATCACGTAATTGATTAGGTTGAATATTAAATTTTTTGGACACTTCTTTAATGCTTATTTCATTTTCCTCAAGATAAGTAATAATATTTAATTTTTCTCAGGTGTTCCACTTTCTTTTTAATTTTGTGTTATACGTGCTTTTGAGATACTTTTATTACTCGAAATAGCCATTTTTTTTTTTTAGCAGGAAAAATAAAATCACGAACATTATTTATATACACCAAAAACAATTACAATTACAAAAAATGCTGCTGTTTTATTTTAAACTTTTATTTTCAAAAAAAAAAAAAAACAAAAAGATTCTTTTTGTTTTATGATCCTTCACAATTGCAAAAGAAATCCATTGCCTTCACAAATGTATACAATTGCAATATAAAAATAAAAAAAAAACTTTATTAAATTAAAAAATTGTATAGCAAAAAAACAAAATAAAAATAAAAACGTTTGTTAGCTTGAAAGCCAATTGTCAACTCAATACAAATAAAAAAAAACATTAAATAAGAATTTGATAATTGTTAACATTTAACATTTGTTAGCGTGAAAGCCAATTATTAACTTAATACAAAAAAAAAAAATCCAATAAACATTCAATATATAACGTTTGTCAAAATTCAAATAAAAATTCGATATTTAACGTTTGTTAGTTTGAAAGCCAATCATTAGCTTAAAAATTGTGATTGTTTCATAGCAACGTACAAGCAATTAATTCGATATACACCATGAAAATATCTGTATAATCTGACAGGGGAGGTGGTTTGGATCGCGAAATACGGTAAGTATATAGCAAACAGAGACTATAGTAATCAAACAATTGAACTTAATATCACAACACATAACATTAATAGCATTAAAAGCAATGCTCACAAATTAGAATTTGCTTTTAAGTGGGCATCAGATAACAAAATAGATATTCTGAGTATTGCAGAAACAAATATTTCAAGATTGGAAGGAGAATGTTTATTGAAAGCTCAATCGAACTACAAAGGTTCTGGATAAGCTCAGATCGTAACAAAAAAAAAGGCTCTGGAGTTGTACTACTAGTAAATGAACAATGGGAAAAATATATAGGCAAAGTAGACAGAATAAGCGAGTATAT